ATATATGAGAATGCAGATACAAGACTATTCAAAACAACGCTAGTCATAACTGCAAAACCTGGAAAATAACCCAAATGTCCATCAGTGGGGTAGTGGATAAATAAGCTGTGTCATAAACAAAATACTATTACACTACATTAAAAATTAATGAAATAATATCTAGAGACAGAAAGATTTGAGGTGGAGGTGGGTTGGGAATGGGGAGTGAAGCTAATGGATTTGGGTGTTTCTTTTTTGGAATGTTGAAATGTTCTAAAATTAGACAATGGTGATTTGCACAACTAAAAACAACTTAATTATATACTTTTAAATAGGTGGATTTTTGGTATGTGAGTTATATACCAATAAAGCTATTTTTAAAAGTACAAACTCTGCCCAGGCTGGTTTGGCTCAGTGGATAGAAGAGTTGGCCCGCAGACTGAAGGGTCCTGGGGTTCGATTCCGGTCAAGAGCACATACCTCAGTTGCAGGCTCCTTTCTAGGCCCCAGTTGTGGTGTATGCAGGAGGCAACCAATTGATTTGCCTTTTTCACATCGATGTTTCTCTCTCTCTCTTTCTCTCTCTCTCTCTCTCTCTCCCCCCCCATGTCTAAAAAAATTAATAAAAACATATTTAAGTAATAAATAAAAGTACAAATTCCATACTTACCTGGCAGGGGAGATACCATGATCACAAAGATTGTTTTCCCAGAGTGAGGCAGGAGGCAGGAGGTGGAATTTTGGGATGTTTTATGATTAAACACAACTTATTGTCCAGGACTTAGATGTTGTTTTTTATAATGAGTTTGCAAGTGCTTATTACAATATTAAAAGTAAGCTTAATAAAAAAGGAGCCATTGACAGACCTCTGATATGCCATGAACTAAAGATTATGATTAATCCAATTTTGTGAATTTGAAGCCACCCTCCAAATTTAAAAATATAAAATAAATTATATACACATTAACATGAATAAGTCTCAAAATCATAATGTTGACTGAAAAGAGCAAGTGAAGATAGATATGTGTAGTGTAGTTTTTATGGATGTACAAAACATGGAAGGATATTGCTAATAATAAATTCAGGATAGTGGTTACCTCTGGGAGTGAGGAGAGAGGGGAAATGGGATACAAAAGGGCTATATAGGCAGCGTCAACTATATTTGTAATGTTTTATTAATAAAAAAAACAAGGCCCTGACCAGGTACTCAGTAGTACATGATCCCAATATGTCAAGGTTGTGGGTTTGATCCCTGGTTAGGGCACATACAAGAATCAACCAGATTCCAGTCCAACACCTTAGGCTTCATTTTAGCTTTCCCCCTTTCCTTAAAAACTTTTTTTCTCCAACAATGAGAAACCCAGCTCATGATCTACAATATATTTTAATCAGCACACACATAAGTGGTTTCAAGTTGCTTACATCTCCCTCTGACGCCCCCAAATACTTAGTATGTGGATCAGGGCATTTATGTACAGATCAGTTGGTTTTATTTTTAGGGATCCAGCCAAGATACTATTTCCCTTAGTTACTTGGGTGAGTTATTTTCTTCTGCACTCCTGCAGAGTGGCTGTCTTACTTATTTGTAATATTGTTCATTCCTTAGTGGTTGTATTCAGTTTTGGGTCTCCCCCCACATATTGTGGTATTTAATTACTTTGTTTTAAAAAATAATGTATATAACCTAAGTAAACCACACAAAGTTTCCTCAAATTGATCATTAAATAATATTGTTTTGTTTTGTTCTGCACTTTAAACATTAAAATTAATATGTTATATGGAATGATTCTGAACAATAGTTAAATAAAGCCCAAGTGACTCCTCTTTTTGGATAGAAAACAGAATATGTTACAATGAACTGTAAAATAAAATCAAGATATTTCTGGGAAACAAATCCCAATTTAAATCCAAACTACAAAGAAATTGTGGGTTAAATCTTATATGATCTACTAAATCTCTAAGGCAGCAATTTTCAATGTTTTTCAGCTCATGGCACACACAAACTAGTTACTAAAATTCTGTGACACACCAAAATATTTATTTTTTGCTGATTTGAAAAAAAGGTATAATTTTGATTCATTCACACTGGATGGCTATTGTTGTGTTGGCTGTTACCATTTTTTTTTAACAAACTAAGGGAAAAGAGGTCAGTGCCTCTGATTAAATAGTCAGGTAGTGCATGTTTTAAAAATTATTGCAGCGCACTGGTTGAAAAATCACTGTTCTAAGGCAAAGGATGTACAAAGATTTGTGTGTGTGTGTTTTCTTTTGTGTACAAAGATTTTAAATCAAGAATGCAAGACTGGCCCTGGCAGGTGTTGGTTGGGTGTCATCCCATGCACTGAAAGGTTGCTGGTTTCAAGTCCTGGTCAGGGCACCTGCCCGGGTTGTGGGCTCAATTCCTGATGCGGGTGGGGGGGCATGCAGGAGGCACTCACTGATCCATGTTTCACTTTCATATCGGTGTTTCTCTCCCCATCTCCCTTCCTCTCTCTCTAAAAATCTATTAAAAACCTTTTAAAAAAATGAATTCATGACTGTATTAGAGATTGGAAAAAACTGGATTTTAGCATGAAAGTTATAGATCAAAGATGTAATGAGTTGTATGTCAGAAGTTCTATGACAGATGTGGAGAGTAGAATAGTGCCTTTCTACCCCCACCTCCAAGGGTATCAATAGGACCTGTGAGTCCTATTGTTAAGTCCTATGTTAAGTTTCAAGGCAAAGGGAAAGTCAGGTTGCAAAGGGGAAGTCAGGTTGCAGGTGGATTTAAGATTGCTAATCACTTGATTTTAAAATGGGGAGATTTTCCTGGATTATCTGGTTGGGCCCTGATGTAATTGCAAGGGTCCTTAAAAACAAAAAAATTTTTTTTACAAGGATCCTTAAAAGGTAAGATTGGTCAGATATGTGAGATGGACCAAACCTTCCATTAAAGATGGAAGAAGGCAGCCAGAAACCAGAGCAGCCTTTGAAAGCTGGAAAAGGAGCTAAATTCTTACCCAGAGCCCTGCCAACACCTGGATTTTAGTCCAGTGAGACTAGTATTAAGCTTCTGACCTACAGAACTCTAAGATAATAAATTGTTATTTTTAAGCCACTTGTGTTAATTTGTTAGCACAATAACAGGAAACGAAAACAACCTACATTTGAACTTTAAAAAAACTACAATTTGGTCCCTGTCTAACTTATCTTTTTCCTTTTACTCTTCCCTTTTGGTCTATACTCCAAACGGACAGCTCACCGTTACTCATATATTATCCTACTTGGTTGCAGTTCATCTTGGAAGGTATATGAAACATTAACTATGATTTTAAGATTCAGTCCAATATAAAAATCTTTACCAATCCCTCATCAACCCTCTACCTTGTTCCCAGTTCCTCCCCTTTTCCCCTACCCTTCCCATTAGGAAATCAGTCATTTTAATTTATGGTTTATTCTTGTGTTTCTTTTGCATCAATGAGCAGATGTTTTCTTATGCTCCCTTCTTTCTTACACAAAGGATAGTATTTTGCCTTGGAGCAAAGTTAACTTTTTTAATTCCAGTGAATTTAGCGCAGTAAGTCTACTTAATGACCTTAAGCAAATGCTGTTCTGCTGAGATACTAAGGGCCAGGTTGAAATGAATTAAAAAGCTCGAGACCCGGCCCTGACCGGTTTGGCTCAGGGGAGAGAGCATCGGCCTGCGGACTTAGGGGTCCCAGGTTCGATCACGGTCAGGGGCATGTACCTTGGTTGCGGGAACATCCCCAGTGCGGGGTGTGCAGGAGGCAGCTGATCGATGTTTCTCTCTCATCGATTCTTCTAACTCTCTAGCCTTTCCCTTCCTCTCTGTAAAAAATTCAATAAAATATATTAAAAAAAAAAAAAAGCTCGAGACCCGAAGGATCTGAAATAGCATCATTAACTTTCGGCAAGTTCGAATCCTTAGCTGCTTTTAGGCTATATATACAGCAGGCCCTCCTCATGACAGATCCTGGTAACTGAGTTTAGTAAACATTAGTAGCGTGGGGCTAACACTATGGAGACGGTACAGACAAATCAATTATTCCTTTTTTCAGAGGCTCATTGAGCGACAGGTCTGTGTGTTCCCAAGTCCCTGAATCCTAAACTCTCACTTAGACATCTATGTCACAGCCTATATGTCACAGGATAGCGGTCTTGGTCTGAGCCTAGAGACCCAAACTACTGTATGAGAGTGCACAACGGGCACTTCCCCGACGAGGTCAAACCCTGCCCCAAGGGGCCAGAAACAGGTTAAAATATCACACCCGAACCTATCCTTTCAAACGGATCTTCTCAGTGTTCCGTAACCTTTAACACACTCATCACCACCTCCCTCTCTCTCTCCTGCCGCCGGGAACGAATATTCCCAGGATCCCGGGCCGTTACGATTGACGTTACTTCCGGGAAAAGTAACCTTTCTTCAGCGGTTGCAGGCCTGGAGAAGTCTCGCGACATTTACTCCCGCGAGATCTGCTTGCTCACTCTAGCGACGACATCCTTCTCCTCCTCCCCGCCGCCTTTCGGCAATCTTCGCCAGTCCCAGCCCCGACCAATCTGCACTCAGATGGCATGGATCAGGGTCTCCCCCCGAACCCCGGTCCACGCGGGGCGTCAGGCGGCAGCGGCGGGGTGCGAGCTGCTCGAGGCCGTGAGCAGCGGCACTGCGGAAGGCACGGGCCGGCGATGAGCAGTGAGCGTGGGCGGGGTAGGGGTAAGCCAGCTGAGTAGCGGCTCGATTGTTCTGGCCTGGCTATGGCGCCTCTCCTCCCCCCCGCCATGGCTCCCCGTGTCCCTGCTCCGCTCCTCTCAGTGAGTGAAAGTGGCCGCCGCCGCCGCCGGCCCAGCGCCCGCAGCCGCCTCAGCGCCGCCGCCATCTTGGGGTCCCAGGAGCCGCCGAGGGAGCGGGCTAGGAGCGTCCACGCCCAACGCAGTCACCGTCCTGCGGCCTCAGAGAGCGAACCGCGGCTCCACCGTCGGCGGGGCGACCCCCCCCTCCGGACCCCGCCCGCACCCCGCCCCCCCTCCGCCGCCGCCGCGGCGGCGGGGCCCGGCGGCCCGAGGTGAGGCGACTAGACGTGGGCGGGCGAACGGAGTGGGGGTCGTGTAGGCCCCGTTGCGCCCCTCTCTGCGGGCGACGACTGGGCCGCGTCTTAAAGGGGCCGTCGCCCCCGGCCCTCGGATTTGTTGGGCTTAATGGGGAGGATGGGTGTGAACACTCTCCGCAGGGTTGGGACCTCAGGGACCTGGGCCTTGTTCTTTCCCTCTCAGACCTCTGGAGATCAGGGGTCACGCGGTGACCTCAGCCGGCCGAGGAAGCCCGTGGGGCGCCCACATGTGGGGAGTGTGTTAGACCAGGTGCACGTGGGACCCGGTGGGGCGGTGTCGGGCTAACACGTGTGTGGGTTGGGGGTGGGGTGGGGCAGGGCGAGGGCTGGTTGGGTTCGAGTGGGAACCCCGTGAGGGTTATACCTATCCAAAGCAATCGAGACCTAAGGGCTTGGGAGTGTGTCAATTTCTGGGAGTAAGTTGGAGTATGGGTCTGTGGTGCATGCTGCTGGTGGGTGTTAGGTGGGGGCAGCCTCACACGTGCCGATTTAGGGAGTGTGTAGGTGACACTCCTAGTCTTGTCGGCTTTCTTAGGGTGTTTAGGCAAATGTCATCCTATTTGACATTCCGTCTTGAGCTTGCTGATGAGAACTACCACTTCCGTAATCACCGAGGGTAGAAGCCCCCTACAGTTTGGGAGTGATAGAGCCTCAGAAGGCACTCACTGTTTTAGTTCATAGCCAACTGCACCGAGTTCTTTTGATTGAAACACTACCTAGTTTCATGTTCCTGTGCTTGTTGGTAAGAGTGGGAGAGAGAATGAGGGGGTTGACCTCGCTCACAGAACTGGTCACCAGCTTACTTTTCCTCATCAGCGACTTCCATGATTTCCTTTCCCACAAGGAAATTTTCATGGTGGTTTACTAGCGAGGTGGCTTTTAATTCATTTTTTAAAGTAACAGCTTTATTGACATATACTTTACATATCTAGAAACCCACCCTTTTAAAGTGTACAGTTCTGTGGTTTTTAGTATCCTTGTGGAGTTGTACAGCTATCACCACTGTCAGATTCATCACACCGAGAAGAAGCCCCTTTAGCAGTCACTCTTCATTCCTCCTTGCCACAGCCACTAGCAGCTAATCTATTTTCTGTCTTTGTAGATTTGCCTATTCTGGGTATTTTGTATAAACGGAATCACACATGTGTACTTTTGTGACTGGCTTCCTTCACTTAACATGTTTTCAAAGTTCATCTATGTTGTAGCATGTATTAGAATTTTGTTCCTTTTTACTGCCAAATAATATTTCATTCAGATTGTGTTTTGTGCTTGAAATATACAAGTATTTCATATAAAATGACAATTTGAGGTTATTATATATTGTAAAAGTTGGATACCTACTAGATTCTAAAATGAATTTGTTTTTAAGGATTAAATCCCATTATTTAGTTTACTGTGTTCTTTTCCTCTACATTTTTATTTCAAAAGAATCCAAACCAAGTTTCAAAGATGTGTCTTTTGATAGGAAATAATTGTTAACAGCACAATGTGATTAGAAAAGTTTATGACTAATAAAAACATTTTGAGTGCATCAAAGGTGGAAATGTGACAGACCATAAACTGGTGATATAATTTCACTTAATGAGAGTTTGTCTTATACTTCTGAGGGGAACGTATCATAACAGCTTTTGACTGGTTACTTGAGTAGACGTAGAGCAAGGAAAGGACTGCTAGACACCTCTTCTGCCCACAAGAAGGGTTAAAACTGGCTTAGGGATTTAACATGTCAACATACAGGTTCACACAAAACATAAATACTGGGATGCAGTGAATTTTAGAGAGGGCAAATGAAATAGAGTTAATAGGAAACTTTGAGTTTCTGTAGGAAAATAAGTGAAATTATGACAAGTTTCAAAGTTGCATCTTAAGTATAAGAACTTTAATAAGCTAGGCTGCAGCATGCAGAGGATGAGAACATAGTTGCTAATCTTAAACACATTTTATGGGCACTAATACTAATCATGAGGGCTCTGATCCTACCTCCTGGTACCATTAACTTGGGGATATGTGAACCTGGGGTGGGACACAAATATTCAGACCATGGCTGTACATTAATTAAGTCAGAAATTCACTTGGAGAAGCATTGGATTCACTTGCTAATGATGATACAGTAGGCTTGCTTAGGATTGAAAAGTTGGTCACAAAGAAGCTTAATGCCTGTGCTTAATAAGTACATAAAAGATTTCCATATATGTTAGGTCAGAAGTTGGAAATAAGTAATACTAAATGTAGTTGACAACTTAAATATAAAAAAATAATTGGGACTAAAAGCTATTCACATTTTTAAGGGACTAGAGGACAGTGAGTAAACTATGACATGCCTTTATAAACTTTCACTACCAAGGATTGACAGCCTTTGTAATGGTCTCTAGAGCAAGCAGGATTCTTACATATTTTTATGTGCCCTGGACTCCTTTGCAGTCTAAAGAAGCCTTTGAACCTCTTCTCAGAATATGACTTAAATGTATATAGTTCAAATATTTAAATTTATGATGTAAGACATTTGCTTTTATTGAATTAAATATCAACTAGTGATAGCCCTGCTAATATTGCTGTGGTGTACTGCCTACATTCAGAATTGAAGGAAATGCTAATTTCAGCTATAGGTTAATGAAAAGGATGTAAATTTCTTCCATCCAAATTCATGCACCCATAGTTTAAGATTCATAGTTTATTTGTTTGTTGTTAATCCTCACCAAAAGACACATTGATTAGTTGCCTCCCATACTCAAGCATGCTACTGGGGCTGGGATTGAACCTGCAACCTTGGTGTGTGTTCTTGACCGAGAATTGAACCCTTGATCCTTCATTGCATGGGCTCATACTCTACCTCTTAGCCACACTGGCTAAGGCAAGACTTACAGTTTTAGAGTCTCTGCCCTAAAGAGTCCTGCACATGTAACTAAGTTATTTCATATGGGGAAACCAGTGGTTTCCATAATAAGAAGAAGGATTATTGATTCTTAAATACTTGTTCACAAGAACGAGACCGAGACTTCTTACAGTGAGATCAAATGATAGTTTAAGGAAAAACCTGGTAGTATAATGGAAAGACATTGGGTTGGGAGATAAAAAGACTTGAGTTTGAGTTCTGCTTGCCACTGGGTAAGTAACGGAACTTTTTCTGAGTTTCAGTTCTCATTTGTAAAATTGGGATAATAATTTTCACTTCTGAGTTAAATGACATATTAACTATAAAACAGTATATTGATGAAAGATAGTTTATTTTCATCTTCGAAGAAATTAACATACCAAAGGCTGTGATTGCCCTAACTGGTTTGGCTCAGTGGATAGAGCATTGGCCGACGGACTGAAGGGTCCCAGGTTCCATTCCAGTCAAGGGCATGTACCTTGCTTGCGGGCACATCCCCAGTAGGAGGTGTGCAGGAGGCAGCTGATTGATGTTTCTCTCTCATCGATGTTTCTAACTCTCTATCCCTCTCCCTTCCTCTCTGTAAAAAATCAATGAAATATATTTTAAAAAAAGGCTGTGATATACATTATTTTTATTTATTTTTAAATAATTCTTTATTGTTGAAAGTATTACATATGTCCCGTTTTCCACCATTGACCCCCTGTAGACCGCCCCCACCCCTGTGCTGTGATATACATTTATTTTTTTTTACTCTTTGTAATACTTTAAGCAATAAAACAATTAAAAAGAAAAAGAAAAAAAAAGAAAAAAATAAATAAATCATCACTAGAGCTATGCAGTTCCCCTCTGTTCTCAGAGCACTCACATGGGGCCAGACTAGGATTTGCCCTTCCCTCAATATACCTGTCCTGCATGACTGCTCTGCTGGGCATGGGGCTACCCCAGGGAAGTCCATACTTTACAGACAAGTGGCATCTGGGAAAGGTTGTGGGGGGGGGGGGGAGGCGGTGAGAGAGAAGGCAGGAGAGGCCTTGATATACAGAGGAGGAAGGTAGGAGGCTCTATTTCCCTGCCTTTATCTGCCTAAACGATGCAAGATAGACCAATCAGAAAGCTGCCAAAGGGTTCTGATCTGGCAGACCTGACCTCTGGGCCTGTTCTCTGGAACCTCAGTTTTCCCATCTGAACAATGGGTGCTGGTCTATGGTAAGTGTTTTAAGAACACCCTTCATCTATAAAAGATCTGAAGCCTTGCAACCCAGAGGCCCCAGGGGCTCCTCCCCAGTCCAGGGTCCCTCCCAGATCCAGGTATCCAGCTCAGGTTCTTCTCCAGCGCTGGGTCCAAGAAGCAAGCACTTAGGTCAAACTCCCCCAACCTGCCAGTCCGCCTCCCGGGCCAGTATAGCCACCCAGCCAAGGCAGGGGGCGGGGCAGACGCATCCAAATTCATCCCCGACTTAAATTCAGACCAATCAGCGTCGAGTTCTGCATGTGAGCGGGAGGGAGGGTCACCGGCCGCTGTTCTATAGGCATGCACAACCTCTTGCCTAAGGCCTCCTCCCGCCGCACAGAGGGGTTAAGGGGACGGGGTAAGACATGAACCTTGGTTCCATCCTTAAAGTCGGGGAGTTCTCCTCGGCCCTCCTGTATTACACGCTTTTGGATCCCGTCCTCCCGTCCTCCCGTCCTCCTGGAGTCTTGCGATGACATCCGCCATCCTCCTTACCCACTGCTCTCTTTCGGTAACTTCCCGACTCGCTCGGCAGCTTCCGGACCTGCTTCGGCAACTGCTAGTGTTTCCATTTAGTTTTTGTTTAGATGAGGGGAAACTATTATGTAGTAGGAGGGAACGACATGAATGGCATATAGGGCTTTCCTAGGGTATTCAAGTGGAGTTCACCTTTTGGTAATGGTACTAAAACTATTCTTATCCTATATAATAAAAGAGAAACATGTAAATTGACCGTCCTCCGCTATGTTCACCAGCCAATCAGACATGAGTATGCAAATTAACCCAACAAAGATGGCGGGTTAATTTGCATACATAGGCACCAGGTGGAGAGCAGAGCGGGAGAGCCAG